GGGGGAGGGAGAAAGGAGGAGGAAGAGTTAAAAGTTGTTGATTTCAAAATGAAATTGGCCGCTGTGAGGGAAAGGTCACTGTCCAGATAATTTAATAGAGTATTAACTGGCAGTAACCATACAGCTTATTACCGCAAACAACTTAGCAAGGGTAACGTCCCAACTTGCCAGCCCAAGTTGAGGTTGTTGACTGGTCAAGCGTGACTTCAATATAAACTGAATATAAAATTTGTACTAATAGATGAAATCCTTAGCATTGCAGTTCTCAAACAGAAAGGGCTGGAGGGGTAGTTTCAGTTTAATAAACCAACAAACACACATCTTGAAAAGCTTATTAGTAACTTAGCGATGGACTGACTTGTCTTGGGTGTGAGGTAAACACTCAATGCAGTAATAGCATCGTTGGAAGGATCATGATAAAGTTCCGTTACAAGAAGGTCATTGTCCTTCATTCGCAAAGGAAACTTCTGCATATCTAAAAAAGAAAAAACATTAAAATAGTGTAGCTACTTAAAGCTAATAAATGCAATGCTTTCTTGTATCACCAGAGTATGGTAACACCAGCAGACTTACCGATGTAGTATATGGATCCGTTGTTGCAGCCCAGGAGGAGGAATGACCCGGCAGTGTCATAACTAGTTATAGGAACAACATCCTGAACCTGATGTGGTGAAATTGTTAACAGATGTTATTATTTCTATTATTCTATTTTTCTGCTCAAATTTTTCATTAATAAAAAAAACAAGTCTTAGAAAATGGCCTTTCTTTGCATAGCAACACACACAGAGGGAACTGGAAAATACCACTTTAGCGCCTACAAAAGCTTTATTAAAAAGTTGTATTTCTGGCCCTCCCTGGTGGCGCAGCGGGTTAAAGCACAGCACTGAGAATCTGAGGCCGCTTCCGCATGAGTTCGATTCCCGCCTGCCGCCTGCCCCGGAGGAGACCACATGGCGAGCCAGACCTCTCCTGACCCGCCCGCTGCTCCCCTCAGCAGCGTACTTCGTCCATCTGCCTGTTCTGCTCCCCACTCTGTCTCTGGTGAAGCCTCTCACCGTCCCTGAGCCTCTGGCCTGTACCCCAGTTCTGTATGAATAAATAAATAAATCTTTAAAAAAAAAAAAAAAGTTGTATTTCTAACAGCAGTATTTTAAGAATTTAGGGTTAAATCCTTTTTCTACACATGATTCTGAGATCACAGCACACCCTGGAAGGTCAAGTCTGGCCAAAATGAACCCTCCCTATGAAAAGCCCAAAGAGGTACATGTGAAACTTCACAGATGGGGTTTAAATGAAGTACTTCTTAGGTACCAAATATTATCCACGTGAACAAGTACTGGGCAAAGGAAGGGGTGCAAGAAATCACTTCTACTCTGTAGAAGCCTGTAAACTTGGGGTTCAGAACAGAAAGCACACTACAATCTCACAGGTACTAAAACAGGCCGTGTGATGCAATCAGAGGAAGGTGTCATCTCAGTTCTAGTTAAGGGAGAAGAGCGGAGATCTAGGGAAATTTAAAAAGGTGGCAAAGTCTGAAAGCTGAAAAAGTGAACTATGAGTCAGACGAAAGGGAAAGAGCCAATGTGACAGAACAGCAGGCATAGAAAGCACAGAACTGAAGTTCATCTAATTTAAAAAATATCTAAGAGCTGAAACAAGGCCATGGGGTTCCTCTCCCCTCATAAGCACTCTTCAGTGGGCACAAGAGTGGAGACTGCCTGGAGCTTCCCCAGGCTTATCAAGGATAAGGCGTTTCACCGTTTGTTTTCTGGGAGGATTAGAAACCTGCAAACTGGTACAGAACTAAACCTCCTACCTTTCTCTGGAACCACTGACCAAGTCCTGGCTCTTTTTGTCAAGCCTAACCCTTAGTACAAGAGGACAGAGAAAGTAGAGGTAAGGGAGGTCACAGAACAGTTAGGACTAGATAGCAAGTTCTTCTCTCCTAACACAAAGCGAAGAGTCAGCCATTTCTGTATTTGGGAAATCATTCTGGATAATTTTTTTGGTCAATCACTGGTCACAATTCCATGATGAGAGCAGATTTTCTTTCCTAAGGTACCACAAGTTATCACTGACTTGTTTGTGTAAATTTGAGTGATTTACAATTTTAAAATATCAAGTTTACCTTCCAAAGCAATCAAAGGAAACTTAAACCACAATCCCACTTAAACCACAATCTCCACATGGATATAAGACTTTTTTAAAATAGTGTATTTTAACCATCTAGTCCTTTTAAAATAATCACTTATTTAGAGTTTCCAGGATAGGCACCAATTTCTTTAAGTGTGATGTTAACTGTTCTCCACATCTACCCCTTCAAAATATACCTATCATCCTATCATTAGCATCAAGGAGCATTTCTTTAGTAGTCCTTTTGTGGAAGGTTGTTACAAATTCAGATTTTCTCAGGATCATCTAAAATATCTTTCTCATTCATGTTTCAGTGATAGTTTAACTGGGTATACAACCAAGCCTGGGTTGAAAGTTACTTTCATACCAATCTGAGAATTGCGGATTGTCCTTTGGTTTCTAATGTTATGCAAAGAGCAGTTTGTTTTAAATACAATTAGAATGAATCAGTCATTATGCTGTATACACTTTTATTCTTATTCCAGTCTTCTCAGGGACTGAGGCAGACCTCTTTAAAGCTCATTTTGTAGGCAACTCACTGTCCCACAATGTCATGTCTCCATTCTTGGCTAAGCAAACAAAAAAAGATCCCATAACCTCTACATCCTGATACATGGTTCTCAAGTGCATATAAATAAGTAATACAATATTTAATATCAAAGTAATACATGCTGTTTGGTTTTTATATGGATGGATATTTACATGTCAGCAATAAAGAGGGACTGTATATCAGCTGATTTAGCTGAGTTGCTGTAAATCCTAAGTAAGCAAATGTAAGATACTCAGGCTAGTGGCCAAAATATAGCAAGGAACTCTGGAGTAGGCTTATGATGCCCACTGTTTTCTATCCCTAACACGTAGGATTCATATTCACAAACCTATCACCAAAAAAATTCCCAAACGTCCCACCAAGCCCTACTGGTGACATCCATGCTACAGGTGCCCAGACCAAGGAGAAAGTCAAACCAGATGCACCTTCCCCTCCCCCCTCCCGTCCATCTGGCTTTCTCAGACTAGATAAATTCACCTGGCTGTTTGTTCTCAGGGCAGGCATTTCCTCCTCCAGGCCAGCATCTACTACTACTCAGGTAGAGGCAAGCCTGTGTTTCACAAGGTGACTCTGGCTGAGTTTTCTGACCCTTTGGGAGCCAGTTAGTTTCTAGGACTAAACTTCTAAAACTGTCTGTTTTGGTAGGAGAATGAAATACATGTAGTATGTTTTCAGTGTAAGTCCAAACTTAAACCCGAACCACCTGGGAAGCAATGCTTAGAGGTATTATTCTGCCATGTAGCTCAATCTAGGATTCCCTTACTGTTATTAATAAGAGACAGTAAGTATAGCTAATTCCTTTATTACTAATATTCCTAGATTCAAGTTTGTGGGACAGGATTAAACAAAAAAAGAACAAAAAATCTAAAATATTTTTGTTCTTACTCAATTTAGATGCAATGCTTTTATTAGCATTTTATTGAAGCTGTCCTATTAAGAAACTGATACACTAATTTCAAAATGGGTTTTAGTCTTAAATGCCTATTCATTTTCATTTCTCTCTCCCTTGCTTCTCCCCACTTATTCACCTTAGTCAAAATACTACAGATCAAGCGTGGCTCCAGAACTCCAGTGAAGACCTACCACAGCTGCCCTGTGTACTTTCTACGCTATTTGTGGGCAGAACTGTCACTAGTGGCTGAACTGTGATCTACTCAGTCAGTGTCATTTTCAGCCACAATTGTCGCTGAGGTTTGCATTTTTGACAATGAGATTTCTCATCCTTGCATACAACAAGATTTATCTAATGGTGTTATAAGTCACATTTTGCTCACTTTCCCAAGGTTTTCCTGGACCTACTTTGTCAAGAAGGGTTTCAATTCATTCAAACAGCAAGTAACAGGTTACATATGAAATAAAAGGTGAGCGGTAAGTATCGGCACTTGGAGGACACCAGTATAGGTTCTAGAATCTACAAGACATAGGGGAATTTCTTCACGTAGTTTTGAAAATATTCATGAAAATCATGAAATGTTAATAAAAAAAAAGCAAGTTCCTTTGGGAACCCTAAGTTATTTAAGCAGATGGCACAAAATGGCTTCGCTTTTTCCAGGCACCGAACGCTCAGACTTGGCATCAACAGACAAGTAACCTACCTGAAAGCAGACCTTTCATAGATCTTTCTAAGTCACACTCCTCTTTCTAGAAATATCACCAGCTGGAGAATCCCACTGATCTACCTCCCTCTACCTAACCTTTACATCCACAGAGATTAGTATTTTTCCGCATTCCCTGGCCCATCATTTTTAGGGTGACAAGAATTAACAAAGCCTATATGGAATCTCTGACTATATGGAAGCACCGCTGAAGAAAATGTATTTTTTCTTACAAATATGACTTCTGTCTTCATCTAAAATGACGCCTGATTATAACACCTTTCACCAGAAGATATTCATTCTCTTCTGTTCCCCCTGTATATCAAGATAAAGCCCTCCACAGCTCAACTCCATCAGAACATCCTCTTTTTTCCAGACTGTAAATTCCAGGTCCATCAATGTTATCACCTTTGCCAAGAACCTGGACACGGGGACCACAATTAACTTTACCCCTTTCTCTGCTACCCTGGCACTTAAAGGCTTATACTAACAACATTTAAAGTTATTTGATCCTACTTCCCCACTGTGATCCCATTCGGCATTTCAACATCTGATTTTAAATTGTCACATCAACAAGAACTGTTCCAAATCCCAACTTTAAGTTAAATCTTTGACCACACCCACCTAACTTTCCATCATTCTCATCGCTTAAATCAGGCCAATACTATTTTTTCCTGTTCCCAGTACTAAGCACTAATGGTAAAATTAAATGACCATCATTCAGATCACCACAAATGCACCACTCTCTGCAATCGCTGATGCATACTTCTAGTGTCCGATGCATACTTCTAGTGTCTTCCTCTTCCAATGAATTTATGTTCTTCAGTAGTCCTTCCTCACTCTGTCAGAGTGAGAATCATCTCTACTTTGTGTTGAGTAACCATCTCTAGCTATTTTCTAGATTGCATATACTCTTGACTTCTATACAACTAGACATTATCTTCTTTCTCTGAGCATTTGTAGGCTTTCTGTGATAACTCCTCTTTCTGACTACATCTTATTCAAGTCTCTCCCTTCCTAGAGGAAAAAGCACTAAATATCTTTGATCTATCTATATCCTTAAATTTATTTTCTTTCTCTGCTTTCCTTCACTACCAACCTTCCTGAAAGGTAACTGAATTTGTGGTCTCTGATCACTGCATTCATCAGCTCCTGCAATTTGGCATGTAACCCTACTGAAACCTAGTTAATTCACATTTGCAAATGACATCCTACTGCCGTTCAGTGTCATCTGTCATTCACATGTGTCCACTTGGCCTCTGATTTTTCTGTCTTGTAACCTTAAATGCCAATGTTCTCTAATATTTCAATTTTAACTTTTCTTTCTCTTATAAACCCTAGCAACAAAAAATTTTATTATTCTTATTTTTCCAGGTATCACAAAAGTCTTGAGGTTTCCAAATACTTCTAGCTAGCCCTTTCTTCTTCCCTACATTCCAAAGGCTTCTCGAAGGTACATAATGAATGTCAGAGCCTTCGCCTGAATGCCCACAGGAATCTCAAAAAAAAAAAAAAAATGTAATCAATCTAACTATCCTCACCACCTCCACCACCAATTCTGCTTCTCTTCCTATAATCCCTTTCAAAGTATTACTAGCCACTTAAGTGTCAAACCAGGAATACTCTCCTTTAACTTTCCGTACCTGATCACATACCAACTGTGTCCTTCGGGGAGGCTTACTTTTCAACAGTCTCAGCTCTGTGGAGACGAGCTGAGTCTCTGCTGCTGTGCTTGGATTGCTCCCCTGACTTCCTGCCCACCTCTTCCACCAGTTCCCACTGTCCCTTTCTAAGAGAGTGATCATGTCACTCTCTGCTTGAAGTCCTTTCACTTTTTCCCTCTCTCCTCTTAACCTTTTCTTAGCCTGTGCTCCTTCCTGTTCCTCGAGAACTTGAGAAGACTGACTGTGCTATCTTCTCTGCAAAGGCTTTGGCTATTCAGGCCAAACTGTGCATCCATACTGCAAAGTCTAGCTGGACTCCTCTCTCCCAAGACATGGAATTTCAACAGCTCAAATGAAGTATCAGACCACACTTAACACACCCATTTTGCAGCTCGCCCACCTGTCTGGCAGGCATCTCTGAACAAACCAGCCCCTCTAGGTGCAGGGCTTCCTGCCCACTTGTGTCTGTGCAAGTGTCTTCTCCTTTTCAGTTTTTTATATTTAAAAAAAAAAAAACTTCCCTTTTAACTATTAAAAATAAAGCAAATCCAAAAACTCATCCATTTCCAAGACAACAAAATTATTGAAAACCAAGTCTAACGTGTACCTAGGTTCAAATCTGCCACTTGAACAGTCACATTCATTATGATCAGTAACAGAAGCAGTATGAATCCCATACGAATAAAACAAATGCATACTTGACACAAGATTCTGAAATAGTTCATTTATGTAAATGCTTCAGTTAACACTAACCTGCCAGTGCTGAGTGACAGCATTCCACACGCCCACCTTTCCTGTATGACTTGTGGCCACCAACTGGTTACCAATGAAGAAGAGAGCATCCACAGGAACGCCAAGGCTGAACACTCCTTGAGTTGACAGTAAAAAAAAACAAAAAGTCTAATCAGTCACTACTTTTAGAGTTAATCAAATCCAAGGATAGAAACAGCTTAAGGTGACTAAACCTATTATCATTTCCACAAATTATGTGCTAGGTAGTTTAGGAACCAAAAATAAGAAACCTATAAGCTCTTAAAAAAAGATTACACAATGCTAACACAGATGAAAGTCACTCCAGGTCAGCAAACACTAGTCAGAACACAACCTGTAGCCACCGTGCTCTCCACTTATAGGTGGACAGATTTAGGATGAACAAAATTCAAAGGATCCCAGGATTCATCCCAGACCCATCCAGTTAGTAGATCCACTGCAGTATGTAAAGTCATTTAGCTGCAGCTCGCTCATGGGTCAGCGTTGGGCTCAATAATCTGATGACAACATCAACTATCTAAAAGTCAACTAGAAATTTACAGGTAAGTAAAAAATAAAGACCCATATTTACTCCATATATAAAAACAAACTCAAGATAGATTATAAATTTGGAAAGAAGAGCCAAGACCATAAGGTATTTGAAAGAAACTATACATAGGGGACACACCACGGCACACCTACCACGAAGATGGAGCTGACAATAGGCCCGAAAACAAGAACTGCAAACAAAAATAAACAAGCAGGGCTGCCATCAAACTGAAACGCTTTTACTCAAGAGAAACCATCACAAAAACAGAAAGACTACCTACAGAATGAGAAAAAACTATCTGCATACCAAGAATGACAAGGGTTAACCTCCAAAATTTACAAAGTTCTTACACAATGCAACAACAAGGAAACAAACACCCCATTGAGAACGGGTGAAAAGACCTCAATAGAGACACGTCTCTAAAGAACAGATTCAGATGGCCTGTGAGACATATGAAAAAATGTTCAACATAATTTAGAGATACAAACTAAAACCACACTGAGATTCCATCTCATATCGGTGAGAATGACCCATATAAATTGTGATGGAATTAACAAATGTTAATTTGTTAATGAATTCACATCCAAGGTTGCAGTGAAAAAGGAACACTAATTCCTCTTAGTGAGACTACAAGCTGGCACAGCTCCTGTCAAAAATGGCATGGCGACTTCTCAGGAAAGTAAAAATGGAAATTCCATTGGGCTCAACAACACTGCTATTAGTTAGTTATCAAAAAATCTAACACAAAAAAATCCAACACAGAAAGTTCTGTCTACATCTATGTACATAACAGCACTATTCGTAACTGCCAGGTCATGGAACCAACCCAGTGCACTTCAACAGATCAATGGTGATGGCGACTGAGGGACATTTCGTCAATGGAGTATCACAAAGGCGTGAAGAAAGACCAGACCGTGGTATTTGGGACAGAATGGATGGACTTTGTGAGTACACTGAGTGAAATATGTCAAAAAGGGAAAGACAAGTTTCAGATTGTTTCACTCATCGGTGGAATATAAATGCCCAAGAATCAATTCCATGCAGCAATAGAAGAAATAAAAATTTGAACTCAGCAAAAAGAAGACAACAAGTTAGAGGGAAGAGGGGAAAGGTATAGGACATGGGAATCACATGGGGCATGGACACAGGTGGTTTGGGGGAGGGAATGTGGAAAAGAAAGTCAGATATGGTGACTGTCTTCTAAAAAAAGAAATGATGCCATCTGTGCTGGGTTTCTAAACATGTGAACAGGAACTCATCACCAAACTGGGGGCCTCGGAATGGGCAAGCAGAGGAAATTTGAGAAAGGGAACAGGGGATGTAGGTGAGAAAAGATGCAAAGTGTCCCACATGAACAGTAAGAACAGAACCCCTGGCTCACCATGGCTGGCAGCTACAAACCCCATGTGAATAGCCAGCCAGCCAGGCCAGAAAAGTTACTTTCTTCTTTTAAAAGATACAATTATGTGACAACAGGAGCAGTTTCCTTAGCATCTAACTGAGAAGACAAGGATCTATAAGGCTTTGGAGAGCTCACCAAAAAGGGACAAACCAACTGAAAGACAATCCCCGAGGGTGACAGACTTCTTCGGAGTCTTGTCACACCAGCTGGAGCGTTTCCCTGTTCAGAGCTGTACTGCATGCAACAGTCCAGTGGCATAAACAACACCTTGAGAATTCTTAAATTTTGGGAAAACCACGCAGATAGCAGCATGAAAATGAATATATTGAACAAAAAGAAAAACAAATCTGGAAGTACTGCTGCGGCTATCTTCTAAACATTTATTTTAATATGTATGCAAATATACATCTCTATGCATATGCACATGCCACCTCAGCCCAAGCTGTCAAACACACACACACACACACACACACACACACACAGCCAAACAAAACACACCGTACACAAAAAAGCTGAAGTTCTCCGATTAGAACTGATTAAGAAATAAACTTGCTAATTCATAGCAGAACACCATCTTGTCTCATGACAAGATGGGTTCTCATGTAATCATACTCAACTTTTCAGAACACGCAAAGCTAAAACTAAATGCAGCTTTATGGGCTATTTGAAAGAAATGAAAACAGGAAAATGAACTGACATCCTCACTGTAGAGAAGGAGGAGCCCAGGGAATCAAAGAAGACATTCTGCTGAGCTCCAGAAATTTGAAGTCACTCCTGGTTAGGCTCAGTGATCACAACCACCGCCCACAGGGACGCCGACAGCACAAGGACGTGTTTCTGTCACAGGGATCCCTGCTTGGCAAAGCCCCACAGGGCAGCAGTGTGGCATGTGAGTCACGTGAGAGAGGCTGGCCGCTCAGAGAGCTGTCACAGACAGACCAGGCCTAGTGATTTTCTTTGGATGGGGTTGCCAAGTTCTCAAGCACATCCATGGTAAAACACTGTTTCTTTCACCAGCCTGAACAAACTATCCTCTCTCTTTAAGTGAATCACCAACCACATCAGCCCCGAGACTCTATATACCCTATAAAAGCGTAACAGTCAAGCAGGAGCAAAATGATTCCCTGGGAAGTACTTGCTCACCAGAACAAAAACACATCTTTTTTACAGGAAAACAATATAATCCAAGTACCATGCACATGTGCAACATATAATCAAAACTTTCTAGACAGAGCAGCAGCAGGCTATGACCCAAAATAAAAGCAGGAGATGACCTAGATGCTGGGATTAGCAGACAAAAATCCAACAAAACAGCTATAACATGTTGAATCTCATAAAGAGATATGACTGATGAAACAAAGCTCAGCAGAAATGAAACAAAATAAAAAAGGGCAATTTTGAGCTGAAAAATCTAATATCTCAAATGAACAATGCACTAGAAGGTTTAACTGCAGATCGAATACTGATGAAAAAAGGGGAAAGACATTAATGGCAGATCAATAAAGCTTATCTAAGCTGAAAAGTGAGGAAAAAGATATGTTTTCAGTGACAACTAGGTTCCTATGATGCAACAATGGTGTAATATGAAACCGAGTCTCAGAAAAAGGAGAGGAAGGAAGGACAGGATGGGGTGCAGGGGTGAGGGGAAGGGAGTAGGTGGGTGAGAGGTGGAGACCAAAAAAAAAAAAAAAAAAGACCTTCCTCAGTTATGTCAATCCAAAAAAGAAAAAAAAATCTCCAGACATTTCTACAAATCCTTGCAAACCATTCATCTAGGAAATGTAAAGAACTATTACCAATTCAGATAACAGGATAAAAACTTCATCAAAAGACGTCTCAAAAAAAAAAAAAAATCTGTAAGCTCATTATTGTTCAAAAATTATTTTAAAATCTAAGATTTCCTTAAGTATGCAAAGAAACACAGGAAATAAGTGTATTTTGTGTATTTTGCTGTTTTACATTCACATTTAAATGTTTGGGAAAATTTTTAAATTTGTACTAAATTAGCATATAATACTTTTTCTAAAATAAGATTTTAAGAACAGATATATATTTTTACATTAGTATTGGCTTGCAAGCTTCAAAATGGGACATTAGAAGGTCCACATACTCAATCCACACTGCATCAGCTAATTCTGTTAAAACTGACAGAATTTATCTTCCCCTCCCACTTTTATGTGTTAGTAACTTTCCTTATGCAACCAAATAATTTTTAATATTATGTTGCCAGTTATGAATTTATTGAGACTGAATATTCAGAGTATAAAGAATTAGTGTTTTAAATGAAGATGTGAAAAAAGCTTTAAAATGATTTGTTAGACTTTCAAAGTAGCAATGGGCAGGCAAGCCAGGCTATGGAAGCATGCACAGCTTCAAGAACTTGAACACATGACAATGCTGCGTGCCCTGGAGCAACAAATGACAGCACTGCCACCTTCCAGTAGTAACACAGCCAGCCCTGAAGTTAGGATGTGGCAAACACAAGTTATCTGTCTACAGAATGGCATTGTGTCTTAGAGGACAATAGATATGACTGGCTCTGTGTCTTGCTTTATTCATCCTAAGTCAGTAATAATCACCAAAGATCTTTTATTTGAATGTGGTCACAAACACATCTGGGGCTGCAATACACAAAGTGATGAAAACTCTCCGAATCTTAGGCTTTATCCTAGAGTGTATGTGCTGACATTTGCACGGGTGGTGCAAGTCAAAGCAGAAGCACTAAGCTCAAGTCCTATCATTAAATTCTTCTCTGCCACATACATAATTTCAAAGGTGGGGGGAGCAGCAGAATAAAAAGCCAGTCTAAGAATGTCACCAACAAAGCATTAAGAAATTGTATGAATGCAATCCACCTTGAGTGTGTCTTCTTAATAGCTTCGTAATATTCTGTGTGGCTAATTATTGTGACTGCTGATACTGAGAGCTAAACTAACTGCTCTTTTTACAGAGTGAAGTCAAACTTTCCTCAGATACTTCAACCAAAATATATTGTGGTAGACTGAAAACAAATATAAGTGTTAGAAGTCTATAAAGTCTATTAGTTATAAAATTGTGAAGCAAAGGCACTCTTCTCACAAAAACTTTTGGAAAACAGTTATTTTCATTAAAGATATCATTCATATCACCATGCAGTGGGGTGACTGCTACCATTTTTAAATAGATATTTATAAACACTTGTTTTTATTCCTATTATGGATAAGTTTTGCTAGACAAAAACTTAATGATCCTGAGTGACTTCTCACAGCATAAAGGGGTTCTTAAAAACCTGCTGTTTCTGGTATAGAACAGCAATGGTACAATGACGCTATTCACCATCTTCAAATCCGCCTTAAGAGAAGGCTAGAGAGAAAGCAAACAGTCATCACAACTGGGATTCAGAAGGTATCAGGTTTCAACCGGTGAAAAGAAGTTTCCTCTGGCCTTAGCCATAACATTGCCTCCCTCTTTCTAAGGTCACTCAGCTTGGCTGAGGGTCCCTTCTAACACAGGACCCAGGAAGGGAGATGTGGCAGCTCCTGCAAACCCAACCGTACAGGCCAGCTCTGACAGTCACAGCCATCTCTCTCTCACACTTGAGAATGTGAAGAATACCAACAAAATGCAGAATAAACAAAATTCCCCTACCAATCTCACTTCCACTTCCTCCATCTTGGACGCTCCACAAGATGATGCTACTCTCTGAGGCAACAGCAACCATTTTGTCCTTGTCCCCATGTGGGCCTCCAACCACTTTTGCATTTAAAGCTACTCGTTCGATAGTCCAATCCAAATATGGGCTTGTAAACACTTGTTGCCATCCTGAAGATTCTTTGATTCTGTTAAGAATAATACATAGTTAAGCTAACCAGCACTTAGAACAAAAAACACGGAGCCAGAAAAATCTAATCACAACTGCCGATCTACCTTTGTATTTATTAAACATAAAATTTTGATGCAATAGATCAGCTACAAAGTCAAAAATTACTCCTGCAGTATCTTATTTACATACCTAACACACAGTAGTAACCATTTCAAAAGAAGCAAGTTTGATACTTCCCTAAAGAATAATTTAGGAAAGTTCTCCAAAGTACAAAAACAGTCTGTTATCTTTCATTTTTGTATGTAAGGGTTCTGTCATTACCTATTGGAAGGAAAAAATCAATAGACACCAGCATTTTAAGATAATAGTTTCCTCCTTCACTTATTAACTGTTCACTTACTAACAGAAAGTACATGTGCTCAAGTTGTTTGTTTTTTTTTTAAATGGTTCTTCAGAAGACAGGCAATTAAGACACAAGCAGAGTCTGGCATGCACAACCCAGGCATCCCCACACTGTGACACAATGAGCCCTCCTGCTCTGAGAACTGGAATTTAAGGGTTTCATTTTGAATGAAAAATCTCACAAGACTGTTTATTCGTCAGAGGTAAGGCTTACTAAGGTGCAAATAAGCAGCTGACTGATATAAATACATTCGCTGATGTTTTAGTTCTGATAAACATACTTAATAGAAGTTGAATAATCTTTCTATCCTATCCAAATTTAATTCTTCAGATATGTATTCTCTGGGATTACAGAGGGAGCCTTTAGACATGAGACCTTTACAAGTATGCAAAAAGTACAACGAATGACCTGAAGTTTACCTATGGAAAAACCTCTCTAAAAGTCAGACGAAACAAGTGAGGCAAACAAAACTGTAAAGCATCTCTTGATCTTGCTCACAGAGAATAACAACATGAAGGGAAAAAGAGAACTGCTTTTCTACATACTAACCGACATACTCATTGCAAACATCAAGCTTAGGGATTCAGAAAAGATGGTTCCCTATGGACCATAAGGAAATCACTCTAACTTCTCTTTGGCTAAAATTGTACATTGAGGGAAAGCAACATTAATTCAAAATTACACGCAACAAGCTTTTTTAGTAATTTCAAGAATTAATGATTTTCTTACATTCAAAGCAAGAGAAAAAGTTATCAGTCCCGGATGGCATAGCCTGTAATTACCCTAGTCAGCCACCAGGTGGGAGTCCCATGCTAAGATACAAATAATTTTTTAAGTAAAAATTGAAAAACACGGAGAAATGAAATAGACTCAGGAACTGACAAGCCTGAGATTTACCTTCTGACATATCTGCTTATTTCCATAAAATTTGAGGTAGAATTTGCTTATAAATTTCAGGAATGACAGATGTGCTAAGTGGACCCCAAAATACACTAGTTCATTAAGATGTTCCATGAAGAGACACTGTATTGATTCAATGAGAATGACATACTGTGATTAATTTAGGAATATTAATAATGAAACTATACGTGATCTAAACTTTTACAGAGATCATTCTTAAAGTTTTTTTTTTTTTAATCTTTAGAAATTAGGACATGAGGGCCCTCCCTGGTGGCGCAGCAGGTTAAAGCACAGCACTGAGAATCTAAAGCCGCTTCCACATGAGTTCGATTCCCACCTGCCCCGGAGGTGACACATGGTGTGGCAGACCTCTCCTGACCCACCCGCTGCTCCCCTCAGCAGTGTACTTCGTCGATCTGCCTGTTCTGTTCCCCACTCTGTCTCTGGTGAAGCCTCTCACCACCCCTGAGTCTCTGGCCTGTACCCCAGTTCTGTATGCACAAATAAATAAATCTTTAAAAAAAAAAAAAGAAATTAGGACATGAAAAAACATAGAAGCCAAAACAACAAATTAATCAGGAGTATTATTTGCGATTATAATACTAATAGAATTTAATACAAGATGTTTGGGTTTAAGGTGTATTTTTCCAGTTAAAATACTTTCTCTGTAATTTTCCACACTATACAAAAGCTAAATTATGTTAAACAAGACAGTGAACTCTGATACTCTGACATGCCGCCCGCCGTGAACCAATGTCCTGAAGTCAGGAGGGTTGCGTAGGACATAGCTCCGTTCCACATGAAGACCTCAAAGGACGGAGAAGGGTCATGCCCAGCAAGATTTTGAAAGTTAGTAAAAATATTGTGCCTCAAACTGCACAATATACAAGTCTATCAGCTGATTCTTGTCTAAAGTTAGATCCATGTGCATATATAAAAATGTATAAAGGAGTCTTCTAAATTCAATGAAAAAGAATAATTTATGCAATAAAAAATCAAAATTAGCTACCCACTTGGGAGAAAATATTCTTAAACCTTACATGATACCCATTAAAAAAAAAACCCACATGGATTAAAAATCTAAAGTGAACATAAACCCCAAGTGGGCACCAATTTATTGATATCAAAGTCATGGAAAAACAATCTGTAAAAAAAAGATTACCCTCTTAAACTAATCTAAATATTTTCCTCAAAAATCTTTTTCATATCATCATGCTGACTAACTCTACATGAGGAGATCCAGCATGCACTCAATTCTCTCCCTCTGCCACCTTGCCAGGGTATACTGCTCAGTGAAAGCAAAAGATTGAAGTAAAAAGCAAGCAAACATCATTCTTCTAATTGACTGAGATTCTGCAAGACCCCATGTCTGGCATGGAGACTCTTTGGCCACTGCGTTGCATTAACAAAAGGTGAATATTGTTACACCTGGAAAACATTACCATAGCCATGCTAGGACTCCCCTGTAACCCCTCATCAATAAAATACGTAAGCAATAAACAGTCTACAACAGTTTTTACCAATCTAGATCCCTAAAATGGTTAAGTGCAAAACATTCCTAAAAATATTACTTTTTTTCAAATCAGGCTTACATTATATAAATCCCAAAAGAAATGACTATTTCCATACTATTGAATAATTTCAACTAAATAATATGCAGCTTACTCTCAAAAATGTTTGCAATGAATCTCTTTTGATATAAAGAACTTTTATTCTTTTTTATCACATCTGGCAAACCTATCAAACCATTTTAAGAACTTTGAGGTTTTATAAAATAATGATCTGTGAACTTTAGAAGACACTGTTTTTATCTACTGCAGCTGTTTTTCTTAAGTAAACCTAATGACAAAATATCTATATAGTCCTTGATTTTTCAGTGATTAAATTAAATTTGAGCATTATCTGAGACTAGCATAGCCCAACCATAGTAATTTGAAATCAAGAATCCTACAATTATTCCAACAGGAGAAAAGAAAAAAAAAAAAAAAAAAAAAAAGATCATTGGTCTACATTTTCCCTCATTTCCTTTTACTTTCTGAGGATGCAATAGCCAGTAAACCCCAGTGACCACGCAGGTCTGCTACCTCACACATACGGACGGCTTCACTTCCACCCACACTGTGCTGACAACACGCTCAGCTCACCGTGTGGTAGTCATGACTGTGGAATGTCTCCACAGCTACTACCCCAGTACAAAGGACTCTATCATTATCATCAAAAGATCATGGGTATAATCTGTCTAGCCATATAATACTTATACGATTCAGAAGCTGGATATAAACAAGGAGTAAGCTCAAGACACAGAAGTTGGATATAAATAAGGAGTAAGCAGAAGCTATTTCTCAATTATATCACAACTTCCAACTGTCTGAGAATAATTTAAGACATCTTAAACTATCAGCAGTATTTACTAAATTAGCTGTGAAAATAAAAGTAAACTAAGCCTTATCAGTAGATACAGAAAGACATAGAATATACAAGGAAAAAACTTGACAATAGCTCTTAAACCTAAAAATGTACAATCACAATTATTCAAAATCACTCCCTCAAATAAATAAAAGGCATTAATTACCCAGTACCTGTAACATACAGCAAAATGAGCATAGGCAGCAACAATCCAGTTGTGATGGCCAGCTACTATTAGCACCTTTCGTGGATCCACAGGAAATCCTGTTAAAGTTAGAAAAAAAAAATTCACATTCTAAAAGCAGGAGTGGGCAACCAATGGCTTTTGCATCTGCCTTTTCTGATGAAGTTGTGTTGCAAAACAGCACAACACTTAAGTTTACATACTATGCCTAGAACATTTCACACTGGGTAGGCAGACTTGAGCACAGTACAACAGAAAACTCAAAGCTGTACCTGCCGACCCTGTCCTACAGATTTAGAGCAAACAGATCATACACTAAAAAGTTGTATGATAAGTGAAAATTTTCAAGATACAGGTTGCAAATCTGGATTAAAAGGAGGAAAAAGGCAAAAGTCACATCTTTAAAATACTTAGTGTCACCTATAACTGAAACCATACACATTTTTCTTTCTCTGTTTAGGTCACCCTTGCTTACCTAGCCTAACAGTTTCTTCTCCAGTGTCAGAGAGGACAGGCTGGGTACCATTTGCCCGAGCTTCACCTTCTGAGGAATTTTGTCCATTCCTAGAATCAGTAGAGGATCTAGCTGGGTTGTTTATTTTACGACTAGGAATACCTATGACAGAAAAGCAGACAATAAATTTATTTTAAAACTCACCTACCAAAAACTTAGAATTTCACATTGCAACAAAAAACATAATTGTCAACAGAGCAATTTATTGCAAATAATTGCCATGAAAATAAAATGAACAGGAAAAAACGGAAATTCTTTCAACAGATTGCTAGTACTTACGATATGAATGATCAGAAAGATGAAGGTGTGTCATGTTTCATTTCACTCTTACCTACTTTACTGAAATCAAGCAATCACTCTTACCTAGTTTACTGAAATCAAGCAATCACTAACTGTTCAATCTGCCACTAGGTCTTTAGCATTTACGGTAGTTACTATGTGTTTGGTACTGTGCACCAGTTTTAACTGCTTCAGCTGAAATGCTCCATCCATTCAGTGACTTTTATTTAGCAGAGAAGTCTTTCCTGGAATGAAGTCCTGCTCAGGAGGCCCCCAATTTACTACATGGATAAAGGCAGAACTCTTCCAAGTGACGGATGTAAGGTGACAGCTTCTCTCCTGCTTCTGTCCTGGAAGCTGATGCACTGCAGAGCTTCTGGTACCTCTGTAGAGCCTCTGGGGGGGCAGGGGGAGTCTATAAAAGACCCAATGCTCTGACACAGATGGCTAATCCAGCCAGACAGCCAATTCCGTCAACGAGGCTGCATGACACTATCACCCCCAGCCCAGGGTGTACCTGGCAGAGCTGCACAGCTACCAGAGACATGTTCCAGTGCACAGTCTATGTGGCCTTCCATCAGAACTTGCCCCCACCATACATGGTGATGGCTTCTGCTAAAGTTCTCACCATTTCCAGTTATTTGTAAAGAAAAGGTAGGTAATAAGCAGTTTAATGCAGTTGTATGTACTTAGTGAGAGAAGGAAAGCTTAACACTGAATAAATGACGCAGAGGCACCTGGTGGAGGCAGGTAGCCGTGGAAGAGGACACTGCCGCACGACGAGCGCTCCAATTCCTCACACAGGAGCAGCCTTCGCACTGAAACGTCAAAGCAAACTTGTCAGGAGTACGCACAGACAGAAAGAATACTGCATGCTTTGCTTTCTCGGATTAAAGAGGATAGGAAATGTCTAAATTAGTTAACCACAACTTTTCACCATGCAAACCCACAAAGAGCAAGCAGTGAACTAACTAGTCTACCAAAAATTAGGACATGGCAGAAAATGCATTTCATATGGGCAGGGTGAGTGCACAAGAGAGCAATCTGGATGTATAAAATACCAGGAGAACCATACCTAATGGAGTGATTCCATAAAATTCTGCTTCATGCCTGAGGACATTAATACTAACTCCCCTACAAAAGTAAAAAGAAAAAAGGAGTTATGTCAACATTCTGACACTGGCATCTTGAATTATTATCACAAGAGGTAAAAGATCAAAGTACTACTAGGTTCTTAGTGTGAACAAAGCCAGAGACTTTGAAATTTATTTTCCTAATATTCTTCATTATTTGAAAAATATACAGCTGCACACAAATAGAACTTCTTACTTAAAAATCACCCATACATAATGGCTGGGGGAGGGGAAGTGCACTGGACTATGGTGATGGCACATGGGTGATTTGGTAATGGGAAGCACATGGGGATTACAACTGAGATGAAAAAAAGCACAAAATATCTGATAAAAATAAGCTATTATTAAAAAAAAAAAAAGCACCCATACATAGATGAACTGGACAATCAAATGAGAGATCAAGGCTTTATAGAGTTACAACTGTCAAGAAGTGTTAAATAAATATGGCAAACAATTGGGAATTGCTATAGCATTAATTGCTTCTAATTTCTTCACCATAAGTTCCTTTTAACTTTTTACAGAATTACTTCTATACATGCTCTACCTCTGATTTCTCCGTATACCCTGCATACTGCCTCGTGCAAAGCTTGAACATAAGTTACACAATATTTTATGAACAAATTCAGATAAATGATTTTGGGGGCCTCCCTGGTGGTGCAAGGGTTACAGACACAGCCTTATCCAGCTATCACCAGTCACTGCAATAGGAGTTCGATCCCTGCCCAGCATACCCACCCAATGCACAGCAGATCTCTCCTGTGGTATCCACTGCTCACTCCCTGCAGCAGTGTATTTGAGTACCTCTGCCTATTCTGCACTCCACTCTATCTCTGATGAATCCTCTCATGCCCTCCCCCACACCTCTGGCCTACATCCTGCTCTTGTGTGCTTAAATAAATAAATCTTAAAAAGAAAAAGGAAAAGGAAAATGATTCTTCTCATCAGAGACCAAAAATAAAAGCAAAATACTAAGCAGGGGGTACCAGACTTAAGAAGGTCTATGTTTTTCACATGAACATTTACAATAAAGCAATGTGAAAATTAAAGGAAACTTAAGATTCTACAAGATCACTAATTTATTTTAGGTGTCAGTTATAATCTACTCTTACTTTTAAAGGAGGGTATTACTGACCCTGGCTTGGCGATTAAAATAAAGGAATATTGTGAACAATTCTGTGCCCAAAGACTAGTTGCAAAAGACTAATCCCTTGAAAGATACAACTTGCCAAAATTCACACACACACACAATGATCTGAATTGGAGTCTACTTATTTAAAAAAAAAAAAAAAATCAGTAACTAACTTGTAATCTTCTAAAACAGAAGCACCAAGTCCAGAAAGATTCATTTAAAGAAGAAATCATACCAATGTTCTACAGTTGTGTTCAGAGACTAGAAGTAGAGGGACTATTTCTTAATTCACTGTATGAGATCAGCTCTGCATTAATAACAAAACCAAAGACGTTACAAGAAAAGCTATGTTCTCATTAAGAGAAACAAAAACCCTCAACAAAATAATAGCAAATTGACAAGTCCAACAGTATATACAAAGAAATATACACTACAACCAAGTGGGATTTACCCCAGGAATACAAAGCTGGATCAACACTTAAAAATCAATTAATACAGGCCCTCCCTGGTGGGTTAAAGCACAGCACTGAGAAGCTAAAGCCACTTCAGCATGAGTTCGATCCCCGCCTGCCCTGGAGGAGACCACATGGCGCAGCAGACCTCTCCTGACCCGCCCGCTGCTTCCCTCAACAGTGTACTTCACCTTATCTGCCTGTTCTGCTCCCCACTCTGTCCCTGGTGAATATTCTCACCCTCCACATCTCTGGCCTGTACCCCAGTTCTGTATGAATAAATAAATAAATCTTAAAAAAAAAAAAAATCCGGCCCTCACTGGTGGCGCAGCGAGTTAAAGCACTGCACTAAGACGCTTAAGCCACGTCCGCATGAGTTCGATTCCCGCCTGCCCCGGAGGTGACCACATGGCGCGGCAGAGCTCTCCTGACCCGCCCGCTGCTCCCCTCAGCAGTGTACTTCGTCGATCTGCCTGTTCTGTTCCCCACTCTGTCTGGTGAAGCCTCTCACCGGCCCTGAGCCTCTGGCCTGTACCCCAGTTCTGTATGCACAAATAAATAAATCTTTTTAAAAAAAATCAATTAATACAAGCCATCATCTGAACAGGCGAAAAAAGAAAAACATCATGATCATATCCTAAGTGAAACAAAAACATTTGACAAAATCTACTACCCACTCATTATTTAAAAAGCTCAGTAAATTAGGAATGGGGTTAAATTTCTCAAACTGCTAAACCTGATGGGGGAGGAGGGAAGGAAACTGTACTGTGATCCTTGTGCTTTATGGTAAGAAACTGGAAGCTTTCCCACAAAGACCAGGCACAAGACAAAAATGTCCCCTCTACCACTCCTTCTCAACAGCATGCTGGAAATTCTTATACTAAGGCAGTGCAAAAGGAAAAGAAGTCATAATAACAGAGGTTAGGGAGGAAAGCAAAACAATGTTGTTCACAGACAACCCAACTGTGTAGAAACTGACACAATCAACCAAAAAAAAAAACATCCTAGAACTACCAAGCCACTGCAGCCAGGTTGCAAGATACATGGTTAATCGACAAAAGTAATGGCTTTCCTTTGTACCCATAATGAACATGCAGAATTTGAATTTGAAACACACTACCACTTATATTAATACCCAAAGAAAGGAAATACATGTATACCCAACATGTGGAAAACTACAAATGGTGATAACAAAGTCAATGGCAAACTAAAGAAAATGGAGCAAAACTCCATATTCATGTAAAGGAGAACAGTAGTTAGTTCTTTCCAATTTGGTTCGATTCAATGCAATACCAATAAAAATTCTAGCAAGGTGTTTTACAGATTATCAATGAGTCAAACCTAACAAGGAGAAGCAAAAGACCCAGAATAGTCAATAAAATAATGAACAAAATAGGCGACTACCATTACCCAATTTTAAAATTTTACTATCAATGGAACATAATGAGCACCCAGGAAGAAAACCTACACATTCTAATACCCAAACCAAAGACAGAAAACAAAACAGTAAATAAACCAGTAGCTCTGCTGATAACAGACAAAAATCTTAGCAAACCAAATACAGCAACATATCAAGAGAATCACCCATCATGAGCAAACAGGCTTCCTCCCAAGGATGCAAAGCTGGTTCCACATACACAAATCAGTGTCATTCACCAGACCAAAGAGAAGTTAGACAAGAATTACATGATCGCCTTGATAGATGCAGAAAAAGCTTTAGACAAGATCCAACATCCAGTTATGATGTTGTCTAAAAATGGGAAGAGAACTTATTTAAACATTATAAAAGTTATATATGACAAATCAACAGCCAGTATCACTTCCACTGGGATTAGAACAAGACAGGGATGGACACAGTCATTAGTATTACTCAACATAATATTAGATATCCTGACTGAAGCAATTAGGGAAGAAAAAGACATAAAAAGAATCCAAATTGCAGAAGAAATGAAAATGTCACTATTTACAGATGATATGTTAATACTCTTAGGAAAATCAATACTACAAAAAACTTCTAGAGTTAACAAATGAATACAGCAGGGTAGCAGGATACTAATCAATACACATACCAAAAAAAAAATCGGTGGCACTTTTATATGCAAACAACATATAAGAAGAAAGAGAAATAAGGAATACAATCCCATTTACATTCACTCCGAAAATAATAAAATACATGAAGTAAACTTAAAGAATGTAAAGGACATGTGTAGTTAAAACTACACTGTTAAAGGAAATAAAAGACCAAAAAATGAAAAGATTTATCATGCTGAAGATCTGGAAGAACATCAATAAAATGCCTGTGTTACCCAAAGCAATTTACAGATTTAATGTAATACCTATCAAAATACCAATGACTTTTTAAGGGAAAAGGACACTTATCAAATATATACAAAACCACAAAAGACCCCAAATAGCTAAAACAATCCTGAGAGAAAAGAGGGTAAATGTAGACACTGTACTTCCTGACTTCAAACTATATTACGCTGCAGCAGTGATCAAAATAGTATAGAACAAAAACAAACTCAGACCAGTGGAATAGAATTCAAAGCCCAGCGGTAAACCCATAGCTATATGGACAGTTAATCTTTGGCACAGGAGAACAACTATACAATGGAGAAAAGACAGCCTCTCCATAAAAGGTATTGGAAACTTGTAAAAAGGGAAAAAGGCCCTCCCTGGTGGCGCAGCAGGTTAAAGCACAGCACTGAGAATCTAAAGCCGCTTCCGCATGAGTTCGATTCCCGCCTGCCCCGGAGGTGAC